AAAATATTAAATATTAATATTTATAAAATTATGAATTTGTGCTTTCAATCTATTAGGCCACTATATATTTTTTTTCTTTTTTCTTTTTTTAGTTGTAGATGGACACAATACCTTTATTTATTTTTATGTGGTGCTGTGAATTGAACCCAGTGCCTCACGCATGCTGGGCAAGTGCTCTGCCACTGAGCTACAACCCTATCCCCTAGACCATTATTTTTTGTTTTAATTTGTCTTGTCTTTTTAAGATTGAGATGCAGCAGAGGGAAGAGGAGTGGCCACTCTATCTCCAAATAAATGGGGAAGAGGTTCTCTGAAACCTTTCAGAAAGCTTTATATATTTCCTCCAGAACTTGAGAAGTTAGTGTGTGACTCTTGCCAAGAAAAGTTTAAAGGGAGGGGACTGTGTCTGGAATTGATCCTGACTGCACAAGGATAAAGACTGATGGTTTGAGTGGTGCTTCCTCTGCTGGTGGGAGGAGACACTGTGGATTTACCTAGGAGCTTAATTTGGGTGTTGGCAGGAATCAGCTTGATCTCCTCTCTCCAGAAGATGGCCTGAGTTTGTGAAGGGTGGAAGATCTTTAAGTTCTAATAACTATATTGGATTGGAATAAAGTTATTTAAATAGTTTTAAAATGGGAATCAACAGAGAAATGTAACTTTTTTTTTTTTTTTTTTAGTTTTTGCTTGTACCACAGCTAATTCAGAGAGCATTTGACTGAATAGTTATGAATAGTAGTTCTAGGGCATTTGGTCTTTAATTTAAATCATACATACACACGCACACGCACACTCACAATTTTGGTACTCGATCACTGAGCCACATCTCCAGCCCTATTTTGTATTTTACTTAGAGACAGGGTCTCGAAGTTGCTGAGGCTGGCTTTGAACCCGCAATTCTCCTGTCTCAGCCACTGGGATTACAGGCGTGCGCCACTGCGCCCGGCTGAACACAATATCTTTATTTATTTATTTTTAAAAATGTATCTATATATTTTTATATGGTGCTGAGGATCAAACCCTCACACATGTGAGGCAGGTGCTCTACCCCTGAGCTACATACAGTCCCAGCTCTTAAATAATTTTAAGGAACATTAATAATTAATTTTCCCCTGCATCATCTTATAACAAATTTTAAATTAAGATGTTAAAAATAAATAAAATTTAAATATAACAAATGTAATAAAGATGTATTGCTTTTAAATGGTCAGTTTGGTAATCTTTCTTAATTGTATACACCTATCACTTATAACAAGTTCTGTCTAGCTCCTTTCCAGTCAATTTCCTCAACTCCATAAGCAGCAATCACTGTTATTTTTAAAATTTTTTATTTGAATTTGTTATATATGACAACAGAATACATTACAATTCATAGTACACATATAGAACACAATTTTTCATATCTCTGGTTGTAAACAAAGTATATTTTCACAACATTCGAGTCTTCATACATATACTTAGGGTAATGATGTCCATCTCATTCTACCATCTTTTCTGTCCCCATGCCCTCTCCCTTCCCCTCTCACCATGCTCTCCCTCCTCCAACCCAATGATGAATCAGCCTTCTTATATCAGGGAAAACATTCGGCATTTGTTTTTTTTTGGGGATTGGCTAACACTTAGCATTGTATTCTCCAGCTTCATCCATTTACCTGCAAATGTCATGATTTTATTCTCTTTTATTGTTCAGTAATATTCCATTATGTCTATATACCACATTTTTTTTATCCATTCATATACTGAAGGGCATCTAGATTGGTTCCACAGTTTAGCTATTTGAATTGAGCTGCTGTAAACATTGATGTGGCTTTGTCCCTGTAGTATGCCGTTTTAAAGTCTTTTGGGTATAGACTGAGGAGTGGAATAACTGGGTCAAATGGTGGTTCCATTAAATTTTCCAAGGATTCTCCATATTACTTTCCATATTGTCTGTACCAGTTTTTTTTTTTAAAGAGAGAGAGAGAGAGAGAGAGAGAGAGAGAGAATTTTTCATATTTATTTTTTAGTTCTCGGCGGACACAACATCTTTGTTGGTATGTGGTGTTGAGGATCGAACCCGGGCCGCACGCATGCCAGGCGAGTGCACTACCGCTTGAGCCACATCCCCAGCCCCCATTGTCTGTACCAGTTTGCAGTCCCACTAGCAATATATGAGTGTGCCTTTACCCCACATCCTCGCCAACCCTGGTGTTTAACAGTCTTCATAATAGCCGCCATTTTGACTGGAGTGATATGAAATCTTAGAGTAGTTATGATTTGCAATTTTGTAATTGCTAGAGATGTTGAACATTTTTTTCATATTTTTGTTGATTGATTGTATATATATTCTGAGAAGTGTCTGTTCAGTTCCCTGGTCCATTTATTGATTGGGTTATTTGTGTTTTTGGTGTTAAGATTTTTGAGTTCTTTATATATCCTAGAGATTAGTGCTCTCTATCTGATGTGCATGTGATAAAAATTTGCTCCCAAGATGTAGGCTCTCTGTTCACTTCACTGATTGTTTCTTTTGCTGAGAAGAAGCTTTTTAGTTTGAATCTATCCCATTTATTGATTCTTGATTTTAATTCTTGTGCTATGGGAATCTTATTAAGGAACTTAGGGCCTAATTTGACATGATGGGCCTGCTTTTTCTTCTATTGGATGTAAGGTCTCTGGTTTTATTCCTAAGTCCTTGATCCACTTTGAGTTGAGTTTTGTGCATGGTGAAAGATAGGGATTTAATTTCATTTTGTTGCATTTGAATTTCCAGTTTTCCCAATACCATTTGTTGAAGAGGTTATCTTTTCTCCAATGTATGTTTTTGGTGTCTTTGGCTAATATAAGATAACTGTATTTGTGTGGGTTTGTTTCTGTGTCCTCTATTCTGTACCATTGGTCTTACCAGTCTATTTTTAGTGCCAATGCCATGCTGTTTTGTTACTGTAGCTCAGTAGTATAGTTTAAGATCTGGTATAGTGATGCTACCTGCTTCACTCTTCTTGCTAAGGATTGCTTTGGCTATTCTGGGTTTCTTATTTTTCCAGATGAATTTCATGACTGCTTTTTCTATTTCTAGGAGGACTGTCATTGAGATTTTGATTAGAATTGCATTAAGTCTGTATGGTGCTTTTGGTAGTATGGTCATTTTGATAATATTAATTCTGCCTATCCAAGAACAAGGCAGATCTTTCCATCTTCTAAGGGCTTCTTTAATTTATTTTTTTAGCATTCTGTAGTTCTCATTGTAGAGATCTTTCACCTCTTTTATTACGTTGATTCCCAGGGTTTTTTTTTTTTTTTTTTGAGACTACTGTAAATGGGGTAATTTTCCCTTGTTTCCCTTTCAGAGGATTTGTCATTGATATACAGAAATGTCTTTGATTTATGGGTATTGATTTTGTATCTTGTTACTTTGCTGAATTCATTTACTAGTTCTAGAAGTTTTCTGGTAGAATTTTTTGGGTCTTCTAGGTATAGAATTATATTTTCACAACCATTGTTTTTTTAATATATATATTTTCAGTTGTTGATAGACCTTTATTTTATTTATTTATATTTATATACATATGGTGCTGAAACTTGAACTCAGTGCCTCACACATGCTAGACAAGCACTCCACCATGAACCCCAGCCCCAGCCCACAACCACTGGTTTCTAGAGATTAGTTTTCATGATGCTGGAGTATTTTCTGTTAGACTGTATATGTTTCTATAAGGTGATCCTAGAAGTGTTTTTGAGAGAAAACCAGACTTTTGTAAGAAGATACATTTTTATTTCCTGAGCCTCTTCTACTAAATTCTCAAAACAGTGGCTCAAACTGATTACTTTCTAATTAGGAAACAAAAGTATTTTAATAAAATTTAGTCTCATTCATACCTTGGTGCTCTACATGTGTTCTTATTTGAAAAAATATTACATACCACATGATCCAGCAATTCCACTTTTAAGTATGTAATATATAATTTCCCCCCCAAAAGAAATTAATATGTTGAATAGATATCTGCACTCTCAACATTCATTTCAACAATATTCACAATAACCAGCTATGGAATCAAACTAAGTGTCCATCAATATCAGTGGATAAAACTATTCAGCCTTTCAAAAGAAGAAAAACTGGGAATTTAGCATATGCAAGACCTTGGGCTGATCATCTGCACCTAAATAAAGAAATAAATACATATCCTGTCATTTGGGACATCATAAATGAACCTAGAGAACATTATACTGAATGACATATGTGAAGCATAGAAAGATAATTACAGTATAATCTCATACTTGGACTCTAAAAACATAATAGAATTCATGGAGAGTAGAGTGGTGATCACCAGAGGAATGAGGTGGGGTTGGGGGATTTGTAAAATGTTGGTGAATGGATACAGAATTTCAGTTAAGGAGGAAAAAGTTCCAAGACTGTAAAACATGGTGTCTGTAGTTAATAAAAAATAATGTATTCTTGAAAAATGCTATTAATTTCAAATATTTTCACTATGAAAAAATGTGAGGAATTCCATAATGTATATAATATATCAAAATAGCATGATGTACTCCATAAATATATATATTTTTGTTAATTACACAGTAAGTGAAGAAAAGAAAAATATAGGTTTTTATTTCAGACTATTACAATATAGTTTCCTTCAACTTGTTGTGTCACTGTTAATTAAATCAGTGGTCAAAATGTAATTTTAAATATTTCCCAATGTTATAGACATTGAAATAATAACTTTGTAGAGTTCCAAAAATGTTTACAGTGATTATCGTTACTCTACTTCAGTTGAGTTTGTATAACTTATGGGTGATAAGAAATTTATCTTCATTTTATTCATGGTAATGGTAGCTCCTGACATTTGAACTTTTTTGCTTCTAAAATGCTAACGTAAGCTTAATCAAAAATTCTTTCATACTACTTAATAAATCTGATTTTCTTGTACCTTTTTTAGAAACGACCCTAACATTTAAACATTAAAGTCATCTCTAATAATGTTTTGTTTGTTTGTTTGTTTTAATTCTGATTCATTTAGCTCCTAAAGAAATAACAGAGTCCAAGGGACAAGAAGAGGAATCTGAGAGCCTCGTTAAATATTTTAATGTTGTTTGGTGTAAACCTTCAAAGAAAAAACACAAAAAGTGGGAAGGTGATGCTATTCTTATTGTAAAAGGAAGGTCATTTACATTGAAAGATTTGGATGGCAAAGACATTGGAAAAGGTATTATGATATTACCTAATGTTTATGAATTGATCTAAAATTAATGTGTATTTTTGATTATAAAATTGAAATATAATTGGGCTTTATAAAGTCCATATTCATGCCATACTATGTATGATACATAAATTATTTCATATTAATCAGTTATCCTAACTATCTTAGGATATGTGTTAGCTCAATAAGATAAATTCAACTTATGGTTTCATTTTCTCCAAAAATGGTCGCCAATTATATATAGTTATTTTGTCATACTTCTAAGATTAAGCAGTTTATGTTGATATGCTTTTTCCTCTTTTTTTTTTTTGTGAATGGTTAGTGATTAAAAATTTTTAAAGGGTGTTGATAGCAAAAGTTGAGTAATAGAATTTCAGTGCTATGCAAGAAAATTTTGGGAAACAGAACAAGGAAATAATGGTTAGACTTACATAGATTAACACATCTAAATTGGAGGTTACCATTTGTGTTATAAAATGTTTCCAGTGTAATTGACCCTAGTACAAGTTAGCCTATACATTCAAAATGCTTAATATTATATTAAGCTTCTGTAAATGAAGGAGCATATTATTATTTGCATTGCTTCCTATTGTTCAATTTTGAATGTGGCCAAATTATAAAATCTGTTTTACATGTTCATTCCTTCACTTAAAATTATTGTTTGTAGCTGGGTGTGGTGGCATACTCGTGTAATCTTAGCATTTTGGGAGGCTGAAACAGGAGGATTGTGAGTTCAAAACCAGCCTCAGCAATAACAAGGTGGTAAGCAATTCAGTGAGACCTTGTGTCTAATAAAAAACAAAATAGAGCTGGGGATGTGGCTCAGTGATTGAGTGCCCCTGAATTTAATCCCTGATATAAAAAAAAATTAATTGCCCCTGGGTTCAATACCCCCCTCCCCCACAAATTTTTAGTAACATATGTGTGCCAACCACTATGCTAGGAGTAAAGAATTAAAGGTTATTTTAATTTAGAGTTTAGTGGGGATAATGCATTTAATAATTAGGATACAATAAAATAATTGTTTCAATAAATTTTTATTAGGTATAGTGATAACATAAAAGGACCATTTAATTTAGCTTAGGAGACTTAGGGATAAGCTCATCAGATTTACTGTTTAAGAAATATATATTGAAAGTATATATTTGGGAGGTCATGTGAAAGGGGCTTGTGTAAATGGAAGAGCATATACAAAAGGCAGGAAAGAATTGAAATTAATTCGGTGTTTCAGAAATGTAGCGTATGGAAGGGTAGTGACACAGCAATAAGGGTTGAAATTGAACTTAATGATCTGCAACAGAATGTTTTATTTATTATAAAAACAGGAGGCAGCTACTATGTATACAATATTTAGTAAGTAGAGGACAGTACTCATTTCATGTTGTTAAGGTAGATTGGGGCTAGGTTTTTCAGCTAGAGAGGTAAAATTCTCAGAATTAACTCTGTAATATCTTACAAGGTATCATATACATAGTTTTGTGTATGTATAGTTTACAATAAAATGATCTTTTATTTGCAGGTATAAAAGTTAAACTGGTGGGTTTTTAACCCTGGTCCTGCAAGTAGAGTCAACTGAGGTGCTTTAAAAATTCTAATGCCTGGGCTCTAAAATCTGTGGCTCTGATTTAGTTGATGAATAGATAAAGGGACTGGTCATAGGTATGTTTTAGGTTTCCAGGTGATTCTAATATCCAACTATGAGAACCAGTTATAAACAATGAAGGGGATTATATTGGTTTTCAAATTAAAACATCTAACTATAAGACTTGGCTTTCTAATTATAGCATTAATAAGAGCTTTAATTGGGAGCTAATTGTGCAAGTGACTGCCTATAAACAAGCAGATTTTCTTTGAAATAATTAGATAGATAGGATTTAAATTTGCTATAGGGATAGTTGCTAAGAAAACCAAAACTGGAACACTAAAATTATTGGTAATTGTGATAGGGCAGTCAAGCTCAATGGCCACTATTATACCATATCCAGAAACAAAGCAAAAATGAAAAACAAGGGTGGAAAACAGAGGGTAACAGTTAAGAAAGTCTTCAGGTGTTTGAAAGAGCCATTACTGTGGACCAATATAAAATGAGAGATTCTGGAATTAAAGAATTTTAAAGATATCCTCATGCTTATTCCTGTCTTTCATTTTCATGTAAAACTGAGTTTAAGAGTAATTGGATTCTATAAGAATAAAAGCTAAAACTATAATCTTCATTAATGTGGAGAGGTCAAGACCATTGCTGAATCAGAATGAAGTGAAGGAACATCACTAAACATATTTGGAACGTCAGCTTAAGCACAGGTTAAGCATTCCTTATCTCTACAACTTTTTTGAGCATCATATAGGTGCTCTAAAGATTCTGGGTTTTGGACTTTTTAGATTTAGGATTTTTGGATTAGAGATGTACAACCAGTAAAGTCTTTCTACTTAAGAATATTAAAAGTAAAACATACTTTACTATAAGTAATTTTAAAAATATTAATTAAAATGAAAAAATATTAAACACTTTTAAAACTGGTTCAGATAATAAATTTAAGATGAGTTTTATTGGGGCAAATTGTAGAATTTTCAACTAATAATAAGGGTCATATTTTTTGAAATATGACAGTCTATTAATATTTTTTAGAAACTTAAGAACAGTTTATGATATACATAGTTCCTGCCCTTTGTGATGGCACAATATCTATACATTTCATATTTTGACTCACTTGATAGAATTTTAGACTCTCATACTTTCCTGTCTGTCTAGTTAATGTTCATTTTGAGCAGACTTGTTGAATTATTTATATTTATATTCCATCAGCACCCTACACATGGCAACACTTAAATGTTCATTAAGTTAATATTAATTTAGGGGCTGGGGATGTGGCTCAAGCGGTAGCGCGCTCGCCTGGCATGCGTGCGTCCCGGGTTCGATCCTCAGCACCACATACCAACAAAGATGTTGTGTCCGCCGAGAACTAAAAAATAAATATTAAAATTCTCTCTCTCTCCACTCTCTCCCTCTCTCTCACTCTTTCTTTTAAAAAAAATATTAATTTAAACAATATTATAAAATATATCACTTTATAATTATATAATTAAAGAGCTGTAACTTGTAATATCAAAAGCTTCTTGCCACAACTGTATTTTAACTTTGTTATCTCAGTACACTCACTTCTAGTTGTGGTACTTTTATTGCTAATTCTTCAAATTTCTAGCTATTTCTAATTGGAAACAGAGATATCATAGTGTCTCTCCAGAAAAAAAAGAGAGTTCATGTAGCCTATTACACCATTTTCTTGGCTTGATGTTTTCAAATCAAAGCAGCCTTGTTTTTGTTAAAGCGTGGCTGATTTTCATAGTCGTAATTTCTTCTGACTTTAGTTTTTCCCTAATGAAAATAAAAATTATGTTTCATTTGGGCTAACACATTGTACAAGGTTAAAATATATGCAGAGTTTTCATCCTGAATTGTTTTGGAAAGGTGGCTATAGTATCACTGTCATCTTAGAATGTTAGTTCAATTAATTTGTTTTTCTTTCTCAACCTAAAGGTATTGGACATAAATTCAAAGAGCTTGAAACAATCGAAGAGGGCCAAACACTGATGATTCCGGGAAAAGAATTGGAAATCGTGGGGATAATCCCTCCTGATGACTTCAACAGTGGCAGGTGTTTTCAGCATGGAGGAGGAAGTCCTGCTATCCCAAGTTCTCAAACTGCCAGAAAGTGCTTTTCTAACCCTTTCAAGAGTGTGTGTAAACCAAGTTCAAAGGAAAATAGACAGAATGGTTCCCAAAATTGCAAACCACGCTATGATCCATATGCACCAAGTGAGATTTAATAAATAATTTGAATATTCTGTTTTTACTTTCAAAATCATTTTTGGTATATGAATTAAAGTTTAAAATTTTGTTTTGTAGTGTTCAGCTGAAATACATATTTTCCTTCATATATTCAATCTTACACAAGGGATTATGTTGAAGATGAACAATAAAGGTTTGGTAATTATTTAATATGTAAACATATAATTCAGAAATATAGTAATCAAAATATTATACATGTGTTGAAGGAAAAATACTAACTGTAAATGTGACATACACAAAAGTATAATTTTAAAAAAATATTTTGTAGTTGTAGATGAACACAATACCTTTATTTTATTTATTTTATGTGGTGCTGAGGATTGAACCCAGTGACTCACACATGCTAGGCCAGCACTCTACCACTGAGCCACAACTGTAGTCCCACACAAAAGTATAATTTTGAATGAAATTTGATTTCTATAGAAAGGAGAAAAAATAGTCAATTTATAGACCAGAATTATAATTATGCTTTGAATAGCATATGCTTTGATCACATGTCTTAGTGTATGAAAATGTTGAATGGTATGATGCCATACAAAGAAATCAAGTTTCACCTGTAAAATTCAGTTCAATTCAATTAATGTTCACATTAATGAATTTCATTTTAAAAACTTTACTTTATAGGGCCAGGTTTGTAGCTCAGTGGTAGAGTGCTTGCCTCCCATTCATGAAGCCCTGGGTTCAATCCTCAGCATCATATATATTAAAAAAAAAAAAAATCCATTGACAACAAAAAAATTATTTTAAAAAAATTATCCATTTTTACTTCCTAATCCCTTGCCTAATTGACCTCAAAGATGAAAGCATTTTTACTTAGAATCCTGGGAAGATCCAGAGAAAAATTGTCCTCTGGGTGATTGCTAATGGTAAACATGATCAAAACTCTCATTTTGATGTGACTGTATATTTCTACATGGATGAATTTAAGCTACTGGAACCTATTTCTTTCTCTCTTTTTTTGGTACCAGGAATCGAACCTAGGGATACTAAACTACTGAGTCACATCCATAGCCCTTTTTATTTTTTGTTTTGAGACAGGTTCTCACTAAGTTTATGAAGGCCTTGCCAAGTTGTTGAGTCTAGCTTTGAATTTGTAATCTTCTTGCCTGAGCCTCCTGAGTTGCTGGGATTACAAGTGTGAACCACCACACCTGGCTGAACCTATTTCTTTTGTTTTCATCTCCTTATACATCTCTCTCTCTCTCTTTTTTTTTTTTTGTATCTAATTCAATTTTTAACCATGATATAAACATGCAAATTCACCCCCAAAATAAGTTTGATGGTTTTATTATCTTACCTCAGATTTATCATTTGAGACTTGCCTTATAGTTTTATTTGCTTTTGCCTTTATGATGGTACTTGGAGAATTACTTTTTTTTTCTCCCACTTCCAGTACTGAGGATTGCACCCAGGTATGCTCTACTAATGAATTACATCCCCAGACTTATTTTGGTTTTTCATTTTGTGACAAAATCTCACTGAGTTTCCAGGCTGGCTTTGAACCTGCTATCCTCCTGTCTCAGCCTTTCTAGTGACTGGAATTACAAGAATGTACTACTATGTACAGAGAATTAATATTATTATTCAATTGTTTATTTCATGTGGCTTTGCACAGGATCATGAATTTGTCATTTATGAATGTAATAATTAACTTTAAGCAAATAATGATAGCTTAATCATGGAAAATGTATGATGTTCATTTCTGATAATAGGGATAATGGTCATTTTTTGTTAGTATATGTAGGACTGAAAATAAGAAAGTCTTTATGCTAAGTTTGGAGAATCTTTAGAATGTGAAGCCATAAGCATTGATAAATGCATCTTTGCAAAATTCTAACTTCAGGTGAAAGTAGTTCTCTACTCTGAATACTGAGCTAATGAATGTTGTAGCTTACCAAGTTTCTTATTGGACAAGAGTGAATTAGTGGTTTCGAAGCAGTCTGGAGCATATGAAGTTTGGGAAGCTTTTTGTAATTCTTTGAATAAAATCATACAATGGTAAGGTGTGAGAGTTTCTTTTTTGGTTTTGTAATCTTGTTTAGCATCAGTATTACTAAATATCATCTTTTTTTTTTTCCATAAATGATGGCAAGAGTTCTATCTTGGGAATTAATGAAAACAAGATAAGTGTAGTTGCTGACAAAGTGAAATTACATTTATAATTATGCTTTTATCTTTATTTTAAGATTCCCTTGTTATGCCACTACCAGACAAGAATCACCAGTGGATGTTCAATAAGAACAATTTCCCTCTTGTGGAGGTAGTTGTTGATCCTCACCTTGTATATCATCTTCGCCCACACCAGAAAGAAGGAATCATATTCCTTTATGAAGTTGTAATGGGAATGAGGTAGGAAAAGAAGTCATTTGTTTAGTCTAATTTGAGTTTTGATTTACCCTGTAACATAAAAATGCTTTTCCAAGAATAGCTTGATAAGAGGAGTCTAAAGGGTACACTGTGAATTTTAGTTGGTAGGAAAGGTAAGTGATACTTAATGAGTATATTTATTTCAAAAGTGGTTTTTGATGGATGCTATGTGCCAGAAACCCTGCGAGGAGGTAATCATATAGGACTTAGGACCATGGTCCTTACTCATAAGTGGTTTTTAAAATATTTCAACATTAAAGTGATAGAATAAGAGGGCTGGGGTTGTGGCTCAGCAGTAGAGTGCTTGCCTCGCATGTCCAAGACCCTGGGTTCGATCCTCAGCACCACATAAAAAAAATAAATAAGTGAAATAAAGGTGTTGTGTCCAACTACAACTAAAAAAAAAAAAAAAAAGTGATAGAATAAGAGCTTGCTACTAGTATGATAAGGGGTTGGGAAGCAAACAAGAAACTCATAATTTTGCTTAGAAGAATTTTGGGGAAAAGATTTCTTCTATTTCACCTCTATTTTTCCCACTTTGAGGTTTTCCTTATTAAGGAATAGTAGTATCCTTAAAGTTATAAGACACACATCTACACAGCAGAAAGAAGAAGAAAAAGAATCAAAGGCCCCAAAATTAAATACCACAAACATCTTGGAATATTTCCTTGTTTTGTTTTGTTTTTAAATGCAAAGGCCTTTGATTTTTATATTTGTCATTTAAAGGTAATGATAAATGTACATTTTCCCCAATTCAAAGAATCCCATGAATGATAGGAAATAACTGTCTCCCAGAAATTTTTAGCTAGATTTAAGTTCTCACCTCCTCCTTTTGGAGATCTTATCTTAGTTGGCCTAGGAATCATCTTTTTCTTTCACCTTCTGAATCTAATCGAGGCTGAACTTAAAAAAAAAAAAAATTTTTTTTTTAGAACTTTATAGTTATGCACAGAAGTTGGTTTTATTCTGACAAACTCATACATGCATGGAATTCGCTTTCAGTTCAGTCTTCCCCCCAACCCCCCACTTTTCTCTCTGGTCATTTCTCCTCTCTCCCATTCTGCTTCTTCTGCTACTTCCTTTTGCTTATCTATTAATTTGTGTTTGATTGTTTTTTTCTACCAGTGCATAAGATAAGTTCCCTTTTGTATGTTTATATATAAACATAACCTGATTTTTAAAGAATTCATTCTGCATTACCTCCCTTTACCCATCCTTCCACTCTCTCTTTTTTTAAAAATATTTTTAGTTGTAGGTAGACACAATACCTTTATTTTATTTTTATGTGGTGCTGAGGATCAAATCCAGTGCCTCCCACATGCTAAGCAAGGGCTCTGCCACTGAGCCACAACCCCAGCTCTTCTGTCTCTTCATCTCCTTCTTCTACATTACTCATCTTCCCTTTTAAGTTATCTTGTCTTTCTCTCCCCTTTTCCTATATTTTACTCTAATTTCTGTATATGAGAAAATATTTGACCTTTTAGTTTCTAAGGTTAAGCCTGATATTTTAATTATTTTAAGTTCCTAAATATTATTTGATTCCTAACCTTTTTTAGTATCCCACTATGGCAGTCCATAGTAAATGATGTCATATAGACATAGTGTATTGTCTGGACTATTGTAGTAACTCCTAACTTGTATTGTTTCTGATTCTTCTCAAATTTAATCTTCATATAGATACCAGCTTGAGTTTTCTGCAAAACAATTCTGAACAATCATTCCTTCCTTAGAATTATTTGCAGTCCAAGAATTTAAAACAATGTGTCCCAATCTCTGATTCTTACTCATGTGATCCATTTTGTGGTGTTAAATGGACAAGATTTAAATTAAAAAAAATTTTTTTAGTTGTAGTTGGACACAATATCTTTGTTTTATTTATTTGTTTTTATGTGATGCTGAGGATCAAACCCAGAGCCTTGCACATGCTAGGCCAGCACTCTACCCCTGAGCCATAATCCCAGTCCCATAAGTTAAAAAATTTTAGTAGTAGTATATTTCATTAATGAATTATTAGAAAAAGTAGCATTTTAAATTTTAGGTTTCACAGATAAAATATACTTAAAATTTTTAAAAAATATTTATTTTTTAGTTTTAGGTGGACACAATATCTTTATTTTATTTTTATGTGGTGCTGAGAATCGAACCCAGTGCCTCACACATGCTAGGCGAGCACGCTACCACTTGAGCCACATCCCCAGCCCCTAGAATTTTTTTTCAGATCAGTTTGTTAAAAATGAGTTGACTGGGCTGGGGATACAGCTCAGTCGCTAGAGTGCTTGCCTCGCCCTGGGTTCAATCCCCAGCACCACAAAAAAAAAAAAAAAAAAGTGAGTTGATTTATGGGCTGAGATTGTAGCTCAGTAGTAGAGCACTTGTCTAGCATGTGTGAGGCTCTGAGTTTGATCCTTAGCACCACATAAAAATGAATAAATAAAGGCATTTTGTCCATCTACAACCAAAAAAAAATTTTTTTAAAGTGAGTTGGCTTAAAGAAAAATAACATAATAGTACATATACATCAGAAAAGAATGATGGTCATCATGAAAGACTGATGTTTGGGAAATCCTTATCTACAAATACAATCTAAGCTTTCAGGGTGCATATCCTCATCTTCTGTATTTTAACTACCTAGCCAGCTTTGTATTTCTGTATTTTCTCTCTTGGAATTCAGTTCAAGATCCAACTGAATGCTGATTGAATATAGTAAATACCTGTTTACTCTTTAAAATTCTTTGCAAGGTACATCTTCTCTGTGAAGTTTTCCTGCTCCCTTTTCTTCCACCTTGAAAGGGTGGATTTCTGTTTTCTCTCTGCTATCATTATTCGTTCATGTCTCATTTGGTCTGCATTGGCCAGTTGTTTATCTAAAAAAATGGAGACTTTACTTCATGTTTGTAATTTTTTCTTTATACCTTGAAATAGAAAGCATACATAAAATTATTTATTGGTTCTTATTTCTACTAATAAGAAATATCATTAGTTATTAAAGTATATTTATAATTTTGGTAATATCTTTAATTCCCTTGGACTTTGTTACTTTTAAAAATATAAAGTGATATAAAATGCATGATTTTATTATTAAATTGTATTAATTTAGTTGAACTGAAGAACAGCCATACTTTCATTAAATTATATGAATCTGATCAAGTATTTATTAATTTTTTAAATAGTATTTAGATCTGTTTTGGTTGAGGATTTCATTTTCTGCCAGACAGTGATAAATTCTTATTCTAAAATAAACTTATTTATTTTTAATAAATTCAGCTCAGTAGATCTTGCTGATATATTTTTAACTTTCGATATCTAATACAGAAACTAGTGAAAATTGCTCAACTATAGTGATGACACAATTATAGTTAAATTATCCAAATGTAGATATAAAATTGGGATTCATTTCTAGACTCCAAAATATGTACATATAAACAGTAACTGTTTTAAATTCAGCTTCTAATTTCAGATTATGTCTTGGTAATTTCGTTGAAAATATGTAAAGGATATAATTATCAAAGATGCAAAAGAGATGTGTTGTAAATCAGCTGATTGAAAAACCATAGATAGAGCTGGGCTTGGTGGTCTATGTCTGTAGTTCAAGCTGTTCTGGAGACTGAAAAGAGAGGATTGCTTGAGCCCGGAAATTTGAGAATAGACTGGACAACATAGTGAAACTCCTCCATCTTTAAAAAGAAAAGAAAGAAGAAGAGGAAATATTGGAAGATTCTTCATAATTATAAAATATCAGTTTCTAGTTCTTGATGATTTGGGGAATATAAAATATTTCCTGTAATTATTAAAGAAAGTAAATTATTTCTAACAGAATGAATGGCAGATGCGGAGCTATTCTTGCTGACGAAATGGGTTTAGGGAAAACGTTGCAGTGTATTTCGCTCATCTGGACCCTGCAGTGTCAGGGACCCTATGGAGGCAAGCCAGTAATAAAGAAGACACTTATTGTCACACCTGGAAGCTTGGTGAATAACTGGAGAAAAGAATTTCAAAAATGGCTAGGAAGTGAAAGGATCAAGGTATTTACTGTTGATCAGGTAAGAGATTTTTGAAAGCTTAGCCTTAGTCATTCTTTAAATCTCTAGCTTTTCAAATCACTAATTCTGTTTTTAACTCTTTATGATGCAGTTTTTCAAGTATAACTCCCTAATATCTTTGCACAAAAATGGAGTCTTAGTTTACATTTTGATTTTGATTTGTTATGGACAGAATGTTTGAATCCCCGCCAAATCCATATGTTGAAGCCTTAATCTCAATATGCAGATGCTCCTTGCCTTGCCATGGGGTTATATAATATGAATCAAAAATGCATTTAATACATGCAACCTATTTGAGTATCATATCTTAGCTTATCTTACCTTAAGCATACTGTTTGGCAAAATCATCTAATAAACAATAAAATATTGAATATCTTGTGATTTACTGAATCATGGAAAGAAGAAATAGAAGGATTATATGAGTATGCTTTTGCACCATTGTAAAATAAGAAAATTACAAGTTAGTTATCATAAATCCAGGGACCCTCTCAGGAAGTGGGGTCTTTGGGAGGTAATTAAGCTTACATAAGGTCAGGAGAGGTCAGATAAAATTAGTGCCTTTGTAAGAAAAAGAGGAGACACCAGAACTTCCCCTCTCAACCATTTGAGGATATAGCAAGAAGGCTTCCATCTGCAAGTCAGAAAGAGGGCCGTCACCTATTATGCTGGCACTCTGATCTCTGTCTTCCTAATCCCCAGAACTATGAGAAATAAATGGCTATTGTTTAAGCTACCTAATCTGTAGTATTTTATTATCACAACCTGAGCCAACCATGACAGAAAAAGTTAACATGTTCTAGTAGTTGATAAACAACTGTAAGAAATATTCTTTTTAAATTTGATTTCACATAGTTTCTGCTCATAGTTTGTTAAATGTTATTCTTTTTCCCTCAGGACCACAAAGTTGATGACTTTATCAAATCTACATTTTATACTGTTCTTATCATCAGTTATGAAATGTTACTTCGTTCCCTGGATCAAATTAAGAATGTAAAATTTGATCTTCTAATCTGTGATGAGGGGCATCGTTTGAAGAACAGTGCCATTAAAACAACTACAGCCCTCATTAGCCTCTCTTGTGAGAAAAGAATAATTTTAACTGGTCAGTATTCACTTTGGGGAAGACATGATGGAATTTTTGCCTATTGAACATGTACGATTTATAATCTGATGTTAGACATCCAAAGAACTGGTTGTGTTGAATGGAATTCATACTAATAAACCCATGTTAATTAAATCTTGATAGGATTCTGATCCTTCAAACCCTTTTGTGATTTTTCTGCAGCCCTGATTTTGAGGATTTCTGAGGAATAAACCCAAACCATAGTAAAGAATATAGGAGATGGGGGACTGGGGAAGTAGCTCAGTGGTAGAGTGCACATCTCGAATAGTGAAGCCCTGAGTTTGATCCCCAGCACTGCAATAAAATAAAATAATCAATTAAAATAAAATAATAAAGAACTAAATCCAAACTATGAACCAGTAATTTACAAAAAAAGAAACATAAACTAATATAGGAGATGGGGCTGGATTGGATTGCCTGTGCTTAGCTTCTGAGTTGGCAGTGACATTTACAGCTGTACAACTTTGGGCAAGTTATTTAACTTCTTTGTGTTCTAGTTTCCTTAGTGAAACAGGGGTATGGTGTCATCTACTATATAGTTATTGTGACGGTCAAGTTATTCTGTGTAAAATTCTTGACTATCTGACATGTGGTAAACATTTAATATCAAGGTCCCCCTTTGCCTCAGTACTGGGGATTAAAACCCAGGGCCTTGCATTTGCTAGACAAGTGCTCTACCACTAAGCTCCATCCCTAGCCCACTGTATCAAGTATTTTCATGTCTGTGCTACATGTGCAGGGCTTATTTGCTGGCCAAACTTCTGGCCCAGATGGTCTGGAAAGGTGTGATGGACCTTGTGTAAATATAAGAATTCTTTTCTAAACAGTTCTTTTAAGCTTCAGGCCTAGAGTTAGGTCTGAATTACTTAACATACTTCTGTTTCATACCTCATCTGGGTCTTGTTCATCCTTCGTTTGCCCCTCTGGCAGGAGCAGAAAGAAGAGAATCGTATTCACTCCTAATACTTACAAACCCTCCATTTCTGGCAGGAACAGGCAGGGCATGATTCTTCTTCTTCTTTTTTTTTTTTATACTGGAGATTGAACCCATGGATGCTTTACCAGTGAGCTGCAAAGATCTTACTAAGCTGCATAGGGCCTCTCTAAGTTGATGAGGCTGGCCTTGAACTTCCAGTCCTTTTGCCCCAACCTCCCAGGTCTCTGGATTGCAAGTGTGTGACACCGTGCCTGGCTTTTTTTTTTTTCTTTTTTTTTTTTTAATTAGATCTATTCACACTTTTTGCTTTCATTCCCAGATTCACTCATTTTAAGATAGGGGGTGTGTGTGTGTGTTGTTGTTGTTGTTGTTGTTGTTGTTGTGCTGGGGATGGAACCCAGGGCTGGCCCTTGAGCATGCTAGGTAAGTGTTTTCTTTCATTGAGCTACATCCCTGCCCCATGATTGTTTTTACTATATCATGACCTTCTATGTATTTTTTTATCCTTAGTGTATTTTCTCTCTCCTTTTAAAAATGTTTTTTCTTTTTCTTTTTTTTAAGTTGTAGATGGACACAATACTTTTATTTTATTAATTTATTTTTATGTGATACTGAAGATTGAACTGAAGACTTCACACATGCTTGACATCCAGTTTGTGTAGAAATTTTATATTAACCATTATCAGAGGCAATTTTTAAAACTACTTTTTAAAAAATAACTTTGACTCAGGAGACTGAGACAGGAGGATGACAAATTTGAGGCCAGCCTCAGATATTTAGTGAGTCTTTTTAGCAACTTGGTGAGACCCTGTTTAAAATAAAAAGAAAAGAAGGACTGAGGATGTAGATCACTGATAAAGTGCCCCTAGGTCAACCTAATCACCAAAAATTAAAAAATAAAATTGAGAAATGTTACACGATCTTTTTATTTTTTGAATTTAGTCACTTGTCACTTAAAGATGAAAAAGATTAAAAAAAAAAAAAAAAGACCAGAGTAAAATATCATAGTTACTTCTATCCTCAAGATTTAATAGATGCTCAACAAATGTTTGAAAGTAATAGTAATATGGAAGCCAGAGAATGAAATGGCTGGTATTGGTTATTTATAAAATATTATTTTTAAAGGAGAAAAGGAAATGGGGAACAGAAAACTTATGTGATTTTCATGTCTTTGACTGTTCAAGCAACTGAGTCGATTCTTCATTCTTAATTCCCAAACCCACAGTTCACACTTCTTGACTAGCCTTTGATCTTGATATCCTTGGGACTGGAAAAGGACTTAGCTGAATTTAGCTGTCTTGTGTTGGAAGAGAAAAGCAGATTATTTCTTCTGATTGCTCAATATGGGGTCAATATTGCTTATTTAAAGAATAGTTGTAGCTATAAAATAAAAAAGATTAGCACTAGAAGTGATGAGTAAAAGAAATAAAAAAGAGGAGTAGGAAATAAAGGTTATTGAAAAGTATTGAAGGTCAGGAGTGAAAGTAAAATATTCCCCTACTTGAAAATCAGATAATTTTCTTTGGTAAAGATGGAAAGTTTTATATTCTTGATTACAAACAAATACCAATTTAACTAGCATTCCATACTAAATTTAATCTTTGCAGTAAAAAAAAAAATTGATTCTGGGACTTCATTCAGAAGTCTTTTGAGTGGTAGTGTTGTCCTCTGTATCCTTAATTTGTGAGTCTTCAGATTCTTTCTGCTTTCCTGTCCTTGTCAACTCAACCCCCTGAGCTCTAAATTTAGGAGAAAACTAACACTAACTTCCAAATTGGAAGTACTTACTCATAGTTGATTTTTGTATCCTTAGATTTGCCTGAAAGAAATTTTGGTTTTGTTTTCTGGTATTATCCATCCAAATGCTATGGAAAGCGTTCAGTTAATATTGACTAGAAAATGGTTAGGATTCAGATTGAATACAGTGTAATAATTAGTTTCCGAGGGTCACCATAACAAAATACCATAGATTAGGTAGCTTAAACAACAGTTACTTATTTTCCTACAGTTCTTAAGACTGTGTTATATGGACTGGCTACTTTGATCCTTAAAACCCGAGGAGCTACTCTGTAATAAGAAACTGGTAGAAGTAATTTGCTCGGGGTCACTTAGGGAAGAAATGATGCAGGTAGGATTTGAACCGAAGCAGTCAGACTCCAAAGCCTGTACTCAGCCACTATGCTTTGAAAACCATAGATAAAAATTTATATGATTATTCATATTTTTAACTTGATTTGACCACTCTTTATTAGTTTTAAGGAAGTTGCTTATATTTATTCCTCTTAAGAAAGAGAGTACAAATTGCTTTAAAGACCTTGATTATAAAACAAACTTGACTTTCTCATCACTTTTATCTTGCCTTAGGTACTCCAGTTCAGAATGATCTGCAAGAATTTTTTGCATTAATTGATTTTGTAAATCCTGGAATATTAGGTACTTTGTCATCTTATAGGAAAATATATGAAGAACCCATCATTATGTCAAGAGAGCCTTCTGCTTCTGAGGTATAATTTACTTTACCAAAAAAAAAAAAAAAAAAGAACTGTGTACAGGGCTGGGGCTGTGGCTCGGAACTACAGCGCTTGCCTAGAATGTGTGAGGCACTGGGTTCTATCCTCAGCACCACATAAAGTAAAAAACAAAACAAAAACAGATTGTGTTCACCTATAACTAAAAAATAAATATTAAAAAAAAAACTATATACAAACAGGCAAAGTGGTGCACACCTGTAATTCCATGGCTGCTCAAGAGGCTGAGAAAGGAAGATCATTTGAGAGCAGGAGTTCAAGGCTAGCCTGGGTAACATAGTGATACCTCTTAGAAGTATAAAAATTTTAAAAATAGTGTATATCTATTGCATATATCTTGTGATCTGGTAATGCTACTTTTAAGAACTTATAAAGAAATAACAAAGGTTTGTTAAAATATTCTCCTGTAAGTGTAGCAAATTGGAAACAGAAAGGAAACTAAAAGAAAACAAACATTTCAAAAGATAGAACTGTATTGTCTATCAATTGAAATTGTTATAAGTTATTGATTATAAAAAAACACACCCTTGGGGCTGGGGTTATGGCTCAGCGGTAGAGCACTCGCCTCACACGTGCAAGGCCCTGGGTTCAATCCTCAGCACCACATAAAAATAAATAAATAAAATAAAAAGTCACCAAAACAAATAAAAAACCACACCCTATTTCAGAGAAGTTAAATGTATGAAAATAATATTGTTTCAGATTCATAAACATAGTAATTTGTCAACAAATATTTATTGAACATATTCCATGAGCCAGGAACTATACAAAATCATAGTTTATGTGAATTTTTTTTTTTTTTTTTTTTTTTTTGGTGATGCTATGGCTTGAACCCATGGCTTTGCATATGCTATGCAAGTGCTCTACCACTGAGCTACAACCCCAACCTGGTTTATGTGATTATTTAGTAGCACGGAAAATGTTCATGTTCCATTATTTAAAAATAAAATCATATTAGTCAATTTATCCAACATATATGTTAAACATTGTAAGTGGGTCAAAAGCTAAGTGCTAGACACTGGGAGATAGATAATTAGCCAAATAGATTGGTTCTTTGTTTGCCTGAAACTTTGTAGTTTGAGATCCTATTTTTGTTACAAATAAAAGTTAATCATTATATTTGTGTATTTATGTAGAGAAACAAGGCTTAGAAGATATACATAAAAATCTTTACAACAATGCTTGTTTCTGGTTGGTTAAATTTCTTATTTTTGCATGAATGTAATTTCTGTCTTTTCCTTAGTGCATGTATTACTTTTGTAATAAAAATTAAACATTGTTTTAAAATACAAGGAAAAAATTTCTGATTCACATAGGAACAATATATACATATGGGACTTATTTTATACTTTCCTGTAAAGTTCTGTATGCTGAAAAGTTTATGTAGAGAAATTTTAACATATTTTGATGATACAGTTGACTTAAGATGTACTGTTATTTAGTAAGCAATGTATAATGATTTGTAAAGCATCAACAGTGTCTTGTGCTATGAATTTCTTGTAAGCTTAGTTTTAGGATCAATACTTTGTCAAAATATTTGCTTCCAAGAGAAGCAATCAGAAAAGTGTGGTGGTACATGCTTATAATCCCATCTACTTGGTAGGCTGAGGCAGGAGGCTTGCAAGTTTGAGGCAAAACTCTACAACTTGGTGAGACCCTGTCTCAAAAAAAAATAAAATAAAATAAAGGGCCAATATTTGGCTCAATAGTAGAGTGAATTCAATCTTCACTGCAAAAAAAAAAAAGAAAAAGAAGGATTTTGTTTTTGTTTTGTTTTTTGTTGTATCAGGTCTTTGTTGATAATTTTAATATTATTTTAATATTCTCTTTTTCCATAGGAAGAAAAGAAGTTAGGAGAGAGACGAGCAGCAGAACTTACTTACCGTACTGGACTTTTTATCCTTAGAAGAACCCAGGAAGTCATAAATAAATATCTTCCACCTAAAATAGAGAATGTTGTCTTTTGCCGACCAAGTGCACTACAGATTGAACTGTATCGAAAGCTGTTGAATTCTCAGACTGTCAGGTTTTGTCTTCAAGGGTTGTTGGAAAATAGTCCTCATCTAATATGTATAGGGGCTCTTAAAAAACTGTGCAATCACCCCTGCCTTTTGTTCAACTCTATAAAGGTAAGTAGGATATGAAACAGTGTCAGGAATATCAGATGAGGGTTGTATGGTATGTGAGTCCAAGAAAGCAGGTTGGGCTAATTCCTGAGCTTACATTTATGGGTTTTTGAAAAGTTCTGTGGACTTTCCATGATGGCTGTGCTATCGTACTTCTCCAGCTTTCTACTTGTTCGTTGAAGCATGTCCACATTCCTGGAGCTACAGTGGGGATGGGAAGAGTTTAGGCACTGCCTTAAGGAACACTTCTAATACTTTGCCATGGTGTCTTGTCCTATTTTATGTTAATATAGTCAGCTGATTTTGCTTGTTGCTAACAAATATGAAATTTACCATTAAAATTATTTTTTTTCTCATCATAAAATTGATACCCAATTATTGCAGAATATTTGGAAAATTCAGAAAATCACAAAAGTAAAAGTCATCATAAGCTTTCCAGATACAGAAAATCAAATTTTGGTATTAATAATAATAGTAATATCAGCTTACAGTTATTAAACAACTTATCATATACCAAAGACTTAAAGTGCTTTTCTCGTTTTATTTACTCTTTATAAAACTATGTGAAATAAGCACTATTATTACCATTCCTCCCTGGTCTCACTGTGTTGTCCAGGCTAGTATCAGACTTCTGAATTCAAATAATCCTCCTGCCTCAGTTTCCTGAGCAGCTGAGCCTAGAGGCATATATTACCATCTGTTTTTTGATGAGAAAATAGATATGTATATCATCTTTATTCTATAAAAACTTTATTCTACAAAAACTTTATTCTATAAAAATTTTAATGATGTTGTGTACACTATTTTAAAATTATTTTTTACACTAATTTGTGAACATTTTTACAAATTTAGATATCTTCTACAGGTATGATTTTTAAAAAATAACTACAAAGTTGGGCTTTTGGATATTTAATAAACTTAATACAGTTTGGAGTATGGTAGGAGTTTTCTGTTTTGAAATTGGAATTGGGTATTAGTACCTACTTTACTATTTATTAGTTATTTAAACTATCAACAAGTTACATAATCAAGTTACACCTGTGAGCCTTGGATTTCCTATCAGGAAAACAGAGCCAATGATAGTTGATAATGCTCTTGTGACAATTTGATAAGAAATTATGGAAAAACCTAGCAGAATGCCTGGCCATACATGTTGCACAGTATCCATCAATAACCTGTTATTCCTAGTTCACCCTGAACCATTTTTCTTCTTTTATTTTTTTGTTGAACAGTAGAATCAAAATTTGATCAAAAAATAACCCACCAGAAAAAAAAATTGTGATAAAATGCTATATTATACTTGAAGTCATTAATTATATATTTAGAAAATGGAATGAATTCTCCAAGTTTGTCCTACAATATATTATATTTACCTAGCTTATCATAAGACAAGTCAGCTTTGTGTAACTTTACAGAAGGCAGGATTATAACAATTTATTAAGTAACGTTTTTAAGAAACAGATTCTATACACAGTGGTAAAAATTAAACCCTTTGGGCATGAAGCCCAGCAAAAATAGAAACTAAAAATTCCTCCTTAAAAGGAAGACTTTATGATGGCCCAGAATGTACCAGTTAATTTAGAATATCCTTAAATGATCTTGAAGAAAGCTGCAGGGGGCTCTGTGTGTTTCTCCATCACTGCCATATGGCCACAAATAATGGGCATAGGATACTACTAGCTTCAAATAGGGTATTCTCATGTACAGTCTGAGACTTATTCAGAAATATGAAAAGGGCTAAAATGAGCCTTCTACATGTATAAGTAAACTTTAAGCAATGGTTTCTAAATACAAATGTGTTCCTATTGAAAGATTTTTCAGTCAAAGTGATGGATCTCTCCATGAAATATGAATAACACATGTAACAATGTATAACAGCAATGATATTATAATGCATAATCAAGATTATTGGATTACTTGGAGTCAGGGAACATTTTGTTTAGCTGATAGAAGCCTGAATTGACAGTCTCTGATGAAGGTGATGAATCAGGCTATTATAGCATAAAGATATTATCCATTAGTTGATTATTAATTAGTGGTATATATAGCAGTGTTCTGGGAAGCTTTTAAAGCTGTATCTAGCCAGGCCTCAACACATAGGGACTGATTCAGAATCTCTGAAATCAGGACTCAGGCATGAGGATTTTTACAAAGCTTTCACAAGTGATTCTGATTATGTGGTCCTGGTTAAGAACTTGTGCATTGCAATCACCTGTCTCCCTTGTAGTCTGATTTAATATTCATCAGACAACCTTCTGTTAGGGATTTGTTTTCCCCTTTGGATCTTCTTTAATGGGACAGAATAGATAAACCAATTCTTTTAAATAGGCGTGTCTCATTTGCAGATCAGTAAATTTTCCAGAAAACATTGAATTCTAATTTATCCTATCTCTGAATTTGGTTAGCTTTAATCATTAGTCCGTAGAGCTTAAGCATATTAAGCTTTTTCAACATTAGACCCTGGATCTGCAGACCTTTGATGACCTTGCCAAGTCACAGGCATTTTAGCAGACCTAACATGAAGCAGCTAGCAACCATCTCTTTCCCCTCATATGTATCAACTGATATAAATATCTTAGACTTCCAAGTATTTTTAATCCAGTGAATTTACTGAAGTATTGCTATATTAGTACTTAATTCCCAGCATTTTATACTACAGGATTCACTGCCCTTAAGATATTTCTCATACTATTCAAGAGGGAATGAAAACATTAGGAAAGTATAACAGTAATTGTTTAAATAAAGTCAAAGCTTAAATGTACTGGGAAGGGGAGAAAAAGTCTGTGAATAAAATTGGGGGAATTTGCATTGGGTCTTAAGTATTTATAGAATTGAGATAATTGGCCAAAAAATAAGAATGCATTCCAGGCTGTGGGTGTAGATTGAAAAGAATTTTGAAAACAGTGATATATCTGTTAAGTGTGGGAGTGAGGAGATCTGCCAGTTTGGGGAATTTAATCTAAAGAGTGAATAATCACTAATAACTATCTCTATTCATATGTTAGCTAGGCTGTTTGGGGGAGGAATTTCATAGATGCTGATATAACTTTGGAATAAAATTATTCTGAAGACTATTAGTAAAAAGGGGCTAGAGTAATTCAGTGGTAGAGTAACTGCCTCGTATGTGTGAGGCTCTCGTTTAATCCCTAGAATGCCTTCTCCCGAAAAGACAACTATTAGTAAACAAAAAATATTATTGTAAGAATACATTCCTCTGTTAGTCGATTGGGTAAAATTGTAACTTCCTACTAAGAAACTGATAAGATTAAATAGACTATTAATGCTTTTTGGGTTTTTGAATATCACCTGATAGGTGTTGTATGCAGCCACAACTTAGATGAAAAAAAGATAGGAAGGGAAAGGAGAAAATTAAATAGAAAAAGAAGTATTGATAATGGAAAACATCAGCGTTTTGGAGAGGACAGATCTTGCACCACTTCTTGACCTTTATTCCTCTCCTTTCTTTCTCCACCCTCTACTCCCCATAGTTGTATGTGGAAATAATCCTGCTCTTGTAGGGTGGAGGTAGCAGCCACTAGGCGACCGCATTAGAACTGCTCAATAATTAACTCAGTAGGATGGATGCATGTTAGCTTTTTTCAAAAATGATCAAATCCTGACCTTTAAAGATTTCCTTAAGAATGAGCTTGGATTTTTCAGGTAGCTATTGATCTTTACTCCCCACCCTCATAATTTTAGCATTTTAGCCTCTTTTTTTAAAAAAAAACAAACAAGCCAGTATTAACAATCATTATTTTGAACAGGAAAAAGAATGTAGCTCAACTTGTGATGAAAATGAAGAGAGGCGCCTATGTGAAGGCTTACTAAGGGTGTTCCCTGCTGATTATAACCCTCTCCTGTTTACTGAAAAGGAGTCTGGAAAACTACAAGTGCTGTCAAAGCTCTTAGCAGTTATCCGCCAACTTCGTCCCACTGAAAAGTAAGAGACCAGTTTAACAAACTGCCTATAAGCACTCATGGAATTGTGATTGCATTATTTCTTAGTTCTCCCCTGTTTAATAAGAAAACATTAAAAAGAACATTCTTCTTTAGGGATGTGGTCAGCTCTTGGTATTTTGTGAAGTTATTTATAAATAACAATGTGTAAGTTTTATTTAAGAAAACTAAGTGTAATATATTTATATTTTTAAAAAATCTATTGATGTTTTCTGATATATAATACAACTTACTTTTGAATCTTCTTTAGAATCCTTTCTTCCTCTTTTGTCCCTTAAATGTTGATACACATCAGGGTTTTTTCTTTAAACTTTTTACTCTCAACACACTTCCTGGGTGATCTCTATTTCCCATACTTTGAACTATCATTCTTATAATATTGACTCCATGTCTATATCTCTAGTCCAGTCCTCTCTTCTAATTTCCACATGATTATTTCTGTTTAATTGGCATCTGAATCTATCTTGGTGTCCTAGAGGCCTTCAAGCTTCAGGTAGTTGTCTAAAATTAGCTTTATCATTTTGCCATTCAAGCCTCATCTTTTCCTCATTATCCCTTGGCTTGATGAATGATATCATAATGCATGTAAAAACCTTGAAAGTTATTCAAGACTTATTTTTCTTTTTCACTTACCTAATAACATTGTCAGTTGCTAAATCCTATTTGTTTTATTTCTTGATCTCAGGAATCCATCTCCTTTCTGATACCAAGATTTTGATTATTCTGATTCCTGATTTGGGTTGTGATCTGATTGTCTTTTACGAACCACTTCCCTTTTATTTTCAACCCCATTGCATACTCAACATTGCCTTTAGTTATATTTCTAAAATATTAATATGATCATGTCACTCCTTTTCTTAAAAAATTCATTCAAAGACTTAATTTGTCTTATAGAAATTTCTAAACTCTAGCATCTTTTGGGGGGAGGCTTGTTACCTCCACCAACTTAGGGGCACTCCACCACTGAACTACCTCCCCAGCCATGTTTTGTATTTTATTTAGAGACAGAATCTCCCTAAATTGCTTAGCACCTCACTTTTGCTGAGGCTGGCTTTGAACTCTTACCTCAGTCCCCCGAACTGCTGGGGTTATGGGCGTGTGCCATTGCACCCAGCTTCAACTCTAGCATCTTTGACAAGACCAATGGCCTCCTTTTCTAGTCAAACCAGTCATGGGTCCAGTTATACCAGACTATCTGTGAAACCTGTTATTTGCCTTATTTCTCACCCTGTGCCCCTTCTATGTTGCAGGTTTCCATGCCTGGTATTATCTCTGCTTCTCATTCTGAGTCCAGCCTTAGTAACTTCATGAGGCTTTTTCTCAAAATAAAAAGGGGTGGGTAAAGCGTCAGTGGTAAAGTGTCCCTGGGTTCAGTCCCCACTTTAAAAAAATTCTGTCTTTGATACTTGTTTGTTTTGTTCCCATATTGCTGTCCTGGTTTCCCTTAGTTCTTGGTCTATTTTTCCTCTTATTTAAGACAGTGTTTTAAAGTTTTTGTTTTCTAAGAGTCTCATCTCTGCTGCTTCTTGGGACCTTAGCTGTTTTCAATAATCTCTTTCCCCAGAGGCGTATAGTTCCCTTTTGGTTTTCACAAGCCATGCCCACTGCTTCTGTGGCTTCACCAAACCTGAGATCCCAGTTACTTTAGTTCTCTGGATTCCAAGTGAGGTGTCACATTCTTCAAATTGTCTTTTTTCTTTGATTGCTGTTTTAGTTAGATTTCTTCTTTCTTGTTTATTGGTTTTAGTTTCTCCTTTTCTTGTTAATCTCATCGCAGTAGCTGGTAACCCTTGGGGTGAGGCAGTCAAAATGTTAATTGGACACTGTGGATAGGCAGGGCTTGTTAACTCATGGTATTCATTGGATGAGACACTAAATTGGCTTTTCAATTTGGGGACTTCCTATCTGTGGACGTTTTTTCTGGAATCATTCAAGATTTTCCATAGACAAACAATCCTTGAGCTGAGACATGAGAGGGGTACCTGGCTATTTATTGATCTGGGAGTTGGCAGAAAAAGGGGATTAGGGTCTTACCATTGAGTATCCAGGCTTTCATTTTTTATTTGACACAATATCCTGCTTTATACAATCCTCTGGTCTGAGCTTCTTTGTTTTATTTTCTCCAGAAGTAAACATTCTATTTGAGAAAAAAAAGTCAACTGTTCACATGGGGGGGCGGGTCTAAGTTCTCTTTGCCAATGTTCTTTAACAGCTCCAGTCTAAATTACTTCCTTCTGAAGTGCCTTTGCAAGATTCTAAAGTGTGAGTGAACTTGTATTTGTTTCTTATTGGAATCTGCCTCTTAAGTTTCACATTCTCTCTACTCCTAATAAGGTGGATGCTTTACTCTTCCTTTTTGTTTTCTTTCTTTTCTTTTTTTTTTTTTAAAGAGAGAGAGGGGGACAGAGAGAGAGAGAGAATTTTAACATTTATTTATTTTTTTCTTAGTTCTCGGCGGACACAACATCTTCGTTTGTATGTGGTGCTGAGGATCGAACCTGGGCTGCACGCATGCTAGGCGAGCGTGCTACCGCTTGAGCCACATCCCCAGCCCTCCTTTTTGTTTTCATATATGAATTTCTACTTATTTTAACAAAGAGTGCCTTTTTTGTTCATTTGTATATTTTGCTCATTTTCCTACTCTTTCTAGGGTGATTTCAGAGAAATGTAAAGAGAGGTTGGCTCCTCTTGCGAGGAGAAAGGTCCTTATTCCACTGTCTTAAAACTGGAAGTTTAGACAATGACTTTAAAATTGAATGTGAAGGAATACTAAGTTGTAATTGAATAAAGTCATTATTGCATGTTCTGTAAATATCACTAATAATATTATGGTGGTATTTTCCTTCAACTAAAAAATGTTATTGTCTTTAATTGTACATAAAGAATCTTTCTTTTTGATACAGGGTGGTATTGGTATCCAACTATACACAGACCTTGAATATTTTACAAGAAGTATGCAGACGTCACGGATATGCTTACACAAGACTTGATGGACAAACACCAGTCTCTCAAAGGCAACAAATTGTTGATGACTTCAATAGTAAATACTCTTCTGATTTTATTTTTTTGTTAAGTTCAAAAGCTGGTGGTGTGGGACTTAATCTTATTGGAGGATCTCACTTAATTCTTTATGACATTGATTGGAATCCAGCCATTGATATCCAGGTAGGACTATTTATTCATCAGACATTACTGAATGGTATGGTGATGATGATGATGATGTAGTATAAATAACTGCTGCACATGGAGCCCTTATTTTGTGTCAGATACTCTGCTAAGTGCTTTTCATTTAACTTTTTTAATCTTTAAAACATCCTTACAAATATGGATATTAGCGATCCTGTTTTTTTACAGATGAAGAAATGGAAGCTTATAAGGTCTTCCAGCTTATAAGAGAGAGGCAGAACCAGGATTCAAACCCAAACCTTATATTTACAAGCCCTAAATCACTTCATAGCACTTTTGGGTCTTCGTGATGCTTGTGACCATGAGGGGAAAACAATAAAATGCTATGAATTGCTGTGATCAATTTGTGCAGGCTATGGTGAGGGTATAAAATTAGCTTATTTTGAATAAGTTTTATTATTTTTTTTTTAGCAAGGATTTTTTCCCCACATTTTTTTATTGGTGCATCATAATTGTACATAATGGCAGGATTTGTTACATATTTGTACATGAACACAATATAACAGTATAATTTGGCCAATTTCATTCCCCAGTATTTCTTCTTTCCATCCCTTTCATCTACTCTACTAATCTCCCTTTGATTTTCATTTTCTTCATCCATCCATCCATTGATGGGTATGTAGGCTGTTTCCTGAAAGAAAACCTTTGGTTTCTTTAGTATCTAGTCTATTTTCATGTATTTTGAGATTTCTACGTATAGATTTGTACCTAAGTTAGTATATGCATTAGGGAATCCCAAGACAACTGTCAGGTTTACTGATTCACTGGAAGGACTCACAGAAATGAGAAAAGCAGCTATACTCACAGTTAGTTATATTAATGTTAAGGACACTAAAATCGCCGAAGGAAAAAACGTACATATGCAGAGTCCAAGAGGGACTAGGCACAAGCTTCCATTTGTCCCTCCCAGCAGAGTTATTTGAACAACTTTTAATTCTTTTCAGCATTAATGAGCGATGACATATATGAAATATCATCTACCAGGAAAGTTCACCTGGTTTAGAATTTGGTGTTCAGAATTTTTGTTTGGGTCAGTCTTGTAGGCATGGAGCACATGCATGGTTGACCTTATTTGCTTAGACTTGGCCCTTCCAGAGGTCAAATTTAGACCACATGGTCCAAGGCCTTCACCTGTATCACATTGTTAACATAAACTGTCAAATGTGGCTTCAGATAAACAAGGCACTATTTTGATATAGGATACTCTATAGCTTAGAGAGATGATATCACTAGGAGCTGATTGGAGGCCAGACTTTTCTTTGAAACATGCAAAATTTGAATGTCAAACCTTTATAGTATCATTGTTAATTCTTAAATCTCAGGGATCTACATAGAGCCTGAGTTGATTGTATATATCCTGCTACTAGGACTGGGAATGAACCCTTCATGCTCATGCTGTTCTTGATTCTTTACATTCTTGCTGTTCAAAATTACTGTCTTATTATTTTTAAAGATATACCCTTTTATTGTATGGCAACCCTGCAATTTGTTTTATAGTACCTCAGTGAATGCTTAGCCCCTGCTTTATGTAACCTAGGACAAAAATAGGAAATGGGTTATTCTTGGGGTTATCAAGGGTTTGGTTTTTGGAGTTTTAAGTAAAATACAGAATTTTCAATCTTAAAAATATGTTCTGGCAAATTACTTATGTGGCAAGGACCATTAGTTTCTGCTGTACTCAGAATTATCACTTATTTTTTATAGGCTATGTCTAGAATTTGGAGGGATGGTCAGAAGCATTCTGTACATATTTACAGACTTCTAACCACAGGTAATAACCATTCAATGTGACCAAAAAAATGTATACCCTTTGAGTAATTAAAATAAGTTTTTGATTAATCTGTTTCAATGTCAGAAATATATTATTATTGTATTTACTAGTATTGTAATAAGCATGTTTACTCTACAGAAATAATAGATATAAACATCTGAAGGAAATCTAATGAATGTTTTTTCTTCAGGTACAATAGAAGAAAAGATCTATCAAAGGCAGATCAGTAAGCAAAATCTTTCGGGGGCAGTTGTAGACTTAACTAAGACATCTGAACATATACAGTTTTCAGTAGAGGAACTTAAAAATTTGTTCACATTACATGAAAGTTCACTTTGTGTCACTCATGACCTGCTTGGCTGTATATGTACAAGTGGAGAAGATCAGACAGGTTAGTTGTATTTTAATCTGTAAAGTGAGTTTGTTTCTCTTTAGCCATTGAAAATATTTAAATAACTTCAAAATATTTATCATTTTCATATGTTGGTTTTCTTTTTTCCCCTCAGGTCACAGAGCAATGCCAGGTAGATATTTGAGAAGATATTCCGTTGAACTCAATTTAGCACCTTATTTCTGAATTGATTGTGAAAAATTAACTTGTTTAAGAAAAATCTTTTAAAGCCTGGTATAATGCCTTATAGTTAGAAAAAATGTTTTTAATTCTTGCTTCTATTTCATAAAAAAATACTTGACAAAATAATCCCACTGTTTGTTTATATTGTGTAGAACTTATTCATAATGGGGTCAGACTCTCTGGGATTCTTAACATGGTCTGTTGTTACAGTACTTGGTAAACTGCTCTTGCTGCTTAAGTAAAGCTGAAGATGTCAACTCTCCAGAATTAGATACTATTCAAAAAGCAACTAGATCAGGAGTAGGATTTGAGCAAGCAATGTCCAGTAGTTGAAAGTCACTTGATATATTTGTATTGAGATATTAGACTGTGTGATACTGACATGAAATAATTTGTTATATTAGCATATAAAATATTTTATATGAAATTTGTATATTCTGAATTTTATATTCATTAGAACTAATATAATCAGATATAATCATAATTATAATAATAAAACATTGGGTATAATATAAAATATGTATATAGTGGGTAGATTTTAAACTTCAGATAAATGTTTTCAGATTTTCTCTTTAGCCATTTTTAGTAATAAAAATCAACATTTGATTTTATTATATATTCTTTGTTTTAATATATTATTTTCTATCTTCTTTTTACTTGTATTTACTCTAATGTTCTTTTTCTAATTTTAAGTCAGATACTTAGTTTAATGACAGCACCATTACAACCAGTTGAGATTTTTAAAGTTGTGATAAAATTTAAAAGAAGTCTGTCTTTTAGAATTACATAGTGAAATATTTGTAGGTGAAATGATATATGGTTTGTATTTATTTCAGAATATTGAGGAAATGGAAAAAGTGTGGCAATCTAAATAAAAAATAATTGGCCATTAGATGATAGTCACTGAAGATTGAATTATATATAGATTCTTCATTTCTATCCTACCAACTTTTATCTTAATTAGAAATTTTCCATAGTTAATAGTTCCAGGGATTGAACCCAGAGGCATTTAACCACTAAGCCACATACGCAGGCTTTTTTTATATATTTAGTTTTGAGACAGGGTCTTGCTAAGTTGCTGAAGCTGGCTTTGAACTTTCAATCCTCCTGCCTCAGCTTCCCTAGCCACTGGGATTAGAGAAGTGCACCACCATGACCAGCTACAATCTTTAAAGTGGTTAGTCAGGATAGGCTAAGTGCTGTAACAGGAAACTAAAAAAACACAATGTAATTGTATTTGTTCATGTAACAGGTTAGTTATGACATTCAGTGGATAGTGTTTTTTTTTGTAATGTGATTTAACAAACTAGACTTCTTTCACTTTGGGCCCTTCTACCCCTTGTACCTTAGTCCTCTGTAGAGATCCCCTGCATCTTCTATCTAACAGTGAGAGAAGAAATGTAGGAAATTTTGCATAAGGATTTTTATAGGCCAGACCTAGAATTTTCACTGACACATCTCATAGGCCAGACTCAGTGGCTGTATCTAATTGTAAGGGAGGCTGGGAAATGTGCTGAGTGCCCTGCAGGGAAAAGAAATGGATTTGGTCCCTGCCATTCGTGTATTGTGTAATTCAGCCCTTGAATACTTGCTTCACCTGGAATACTTACTTGATTCAGTAATACTGAACTTCTCCTCTTGCATTGTTCTTCGCCTTTACTCTTTAGGCTTGTGATTGTTTTTGGCTACTACCAGTTCTTCAATATATCAGCATTTCTTTCCTTTCATGACCTTTAAATGTACTTTTCCTGGAATGCTTTGTCTCTTCCCCATTTAATTCTTTTGTCATCTTTTAGATCTTAATAGAACATTTTCTCAGGGAACCCCTCACTTAACCTTCAGACCAGGTTAGCCTTTCATTGTGTTTAGAGGCCCCTGTATTTTTTGTAGTGTAGTGCCACAGTTCCTTATCTTCAGTTCTGAAATCTATAGTGCTCAAACAACCCAAAGGGTTTTTGTCTTCATAAATTTGCAACAAAATTATTTGTGGCAAAATGCTTACCTAAAATGGATATAAGCTTATTGGTAGTCTCTAACACATTTATAAGGCTTTTCATCTGACATTTGTAGAATACTATGAGATTGATTATGGAATGCTAAACACATTATTCCAATTATATTCTGAATTTGAAACAAATCTGGCCTCAGATTTTTAGATAAGGGATTATGAGCCTATAATATATTATTTGAATAATTATTTATTTAATGTACATTTCTTCCATTGAACATAGGTTCTTGATTTCAGAGACCATGTCTATAAGGTCCTTAGCATCAGGATGGCCATCTTAAGTGACAGCCTCCATTTTAAGGAAAAAGTTTTGCTTTTCCACCCCAAGGGCATTTCTGAGAAAGACACACCTCTCCCTCATACCAACCCAACCCTTAACTGCCCAAATTCAGACTGCTCAGCTCTGATTCCTGAGCCTCTGAATAAAAGTCACAGAACTCAAGTTTGTTTTGCCTCTCTGTCCTATAGAGAGATGGCCTTTATTTGTCAGTTCTGACAAATAAATTCTCATGTTTCTCTGCCTGGTCTCCATCTTTCATTTCTCGCTTACCCATCTCTTGTTCCTCGCTTTCTCTTCAATGTCTATATTTGTTCATAATTTTTGCTCATAATGCTTACATAAATACATATATATATAATATATAATTTGTGGAAAGGATGAACTGAATCTTTTAATTTGAAAAATGGTGATCAAATGTTGTAAATCATATAAACTCATTGTCATTAAACAAAAAAATATTGCATACAATAAGATACTGGTTGGTCTAAGGATTTTCTCCTTGGTATTTATTTCAGATGATTCTTCGGAAAAGATTGCTATCTCTAGACATTGTCAACTTGGTCCACATCACCAGAAACCAAACTCCCTGAAACCTCTTTCCATGTCACAGCTAAAGCGGTGGAAACATTTTTCTGCAGATGATATAAATCTTACAGATCCTTTTCTTAAAGGAATAAGAGAAAATGTCTCATTCTTTTTTCAGAACATAACAGTCACACTACAGCCATGCAGTGATAAGACTACTTAATGATGTTCCCTTGCTCCCTTTGTAAAATTTAACATAGTAATTAAATGTAATTTTTGAAAATTAATAGAATTACTTAAATCATAATATTTGTTGCAAAATGTATGTTCTTATACAATAATAAAAATTGAGTTAATTATTCTACTGTCATGTATAATTAAAAGAACAAATAAGTTAAAAAATTAACTCAATTTTTTTCTTATTTTAATGGTTTTATTTTGCTACGTATTGACTAAAGCATTTTTTATTAAATCATTTTCACAAGGAATATGAAAAGGTAAAAATACTTTGAGAAATCTAATCTCATGAAGAATATTAAACATACACAATTGAGAATTTTATAAATTAAAACTGTAGCTCAAGGGGGGGAAGAATCTGAGGCTAGAATTGCAAATGCTTAAGACATTGAGGGCAATTTGAGAATAGTCAGAAGGTTGGGGCCGGATTTGAAGGAAATTGGGACATTTCAGAGCACTAGTTCCTGGTCTGGGACCTCAGACTTTTGGGGGCCTAATATGCAGACAATAAAGGCATGCCCACCAAACATTGTTTGTACACTGAATAAAGTTCAGCTCCCATCAGAGGATTGTCTGGAGTAATTTTTGACATTTAAAAAAGAGTTTAATGTACAAAGCAAATATTAAAGGACTGATATCTACAAAGAGAAAGGAGTTACTCATCTAGTCTCCAACTGGGTCTTCTGTGGTCAGCTTTTGCTTCCATTTTGGAAAATTTCTTTTAGACTGAATTTTTTGTTGTTGTGCATGTGAGACAAGCACTCTACCAACTGAAGCTTTATACCCAGACCTTTAGACTGAATATTGTCTTAAGGTGTTCAAGATTCAATTATTGAGCTGGGCTTGGAGATGCATGCCTGTAATCCCAGCAGTTTGGGAGGCTGAGGCAGGAAGATTTTAAGTTTAAAGCCAGCCTCAGCAATTAGTGAGGTCCTAAGCAATTTAGAACCTGTCCCAAAGTAAAAATTAAAAAGAGCTGGGGATGTAGTGTTGCAGGGGACAGACAGGCAAGACACCAAATGGGAACAGGTTTGACTATAGCCAGGTTCAGAGGGCAAAGCTTTCGCTGTAGTCAATCAAACTTCCTAAACCCCGGGGCTGGGATGTGGCTCAAGCGGTAGCGCGCTCGCCTAGCATGCGTGTGGCCCGGGTTCGATCCTCAGCAGCACCACATACCAACAAAGATGTTGTGTCCGCCGAGAATTAAGAAAAAAAATAAATAAATGTTAAAATTCTCTCTCTCTCTCTCTCTCTGTCCCCCTCTCTCACTCTCTCTTTAAAAAAAACAAAACAAAAAAAAAAAAACTTCCTAAACCCCAAATTCAGGCAGTTTCAGAACTTTATACCCAGCGTGTAAGGGGAGGGACTCAGAAGTTCTCAGTCTGCAGAAGTTCACACAAAAGCTTTTTCTGTCACTGTTCTTGGCAAATTAACTTTTCAAGGACAGTGCCTGACAAGGAAGAGCTTCTTCTCCCCTTCTTTCTTCCCCCTACCAGCTGTTACCTGGAGCACAATTAGTAGCCTCTTCTCTTATCTACCTCTCTGCAGTTCCATTGAGAAACCGACCTGACTCCATTTTTGAAAAAAGCTACCTCAAAGCCTGTCCAAGGAAGGGGGCATGACCCTTGTCCTTGGAAAAACCCCCAGAGCACTCCTAGGCACATACTCACCCTGCTAAGTTGTTTGCAAATAACTGGAGAGATCTGAGGCACCAGGTGTCCCTAACTCAGGCTAGGTGAGGACCCATAGCAACCTCCCAGCAACCACCAATCAGCATGAGACAGGGAAATACCTGGGATGCCAGATGACCCTCCCAGTAGTTTATGGTGGTTGATAATATGTTGTGAAACCATGTAATTTAGCACCTACACCCCTTGTGGCTTTAACCAATCAGTTCAGACGAATCCTCCTCTTGTACTAACCAATCACCCCTACCCAACTTTTTTCCACCAGTGAATGTGCTAATCAATATTAAGAGTTGTTATGAGGCCAGGCTCAAGCTTGCAATAAAGACTCTTGTGTGATTCCATTGGATTCGGCTCCTGGAAGTCTATTGCGGTCCCCCATTACATCATCCCAAGGCCAAGGGTCTAGTTAAAAGAATCTGTTTTTCTTATCACACTCTGCATTTGCAAGCACTCTTCTACAAACTATTATATATGTTATTTATGTTAGATAGTCCATAAATGTTTGTGAAAAACTAGTAAAGGGGCATTCAACACGTGGAGCACTGATCTCTTCCAGGCTAGTGGCCAAGTAAGATAGAACAACAGGAAATAGGAAGTTTATTTGCTGATAGTTCTAAGAACAATTATGGAGGAGGGAGTGCCAGTACAGTAGCTTTGTGGTAAAGCACCCATGACCATCCTCCCCCCCGCCAAAAAAAAAATTCAGTTACCAAATACTATAACAGTGGTTCACTTTATGGTTTGAATATAGCCCTTGCTGCTCTGCCACTGCAACTTATTTTAAAATTGTGTTTCTTTTTCTGCCTCTCTTCCTAATCTCTGCCCCTCCCTAATCTCAGGGAAACAGGATTACCTTTCTTCCCCATTTTAGGCTGATTTATCTATCCTTGAGTGCACACCTACCACAGGAACAAAGTAATCCAGACTTTGGGGATGGTACCAGTGAAAGGGTAAAGTTTATAAGCTGCAAAGCCTGAGTTAAAATGTAAAAAAACAGGCATTGTAAAGTTTCTAAGCTGCAAGGCCTGAGTTAAAAAGGACCAGGTATTGTTAAGTTCCTCTGCTACACCCAGAACCTGAAATTCCTGAGGCAGTTAAGACGTCGCCCTACTGACCATTTAGCCTAGGGCCCTGTGCAGCTTGTCACGTAGGCATACAGGGCCCGAACCAATCAGTTTGAATGTGTTCCCTGCTTAGGAGTGACCAATCACCCCGGCCAGACCTGTTCCCGCCAATGAATGTGCTGATCATGTATGAGAGTTGTCGTTCAATTTTCCCGTGCCTCATGCTGATTTGTTCTAATGTATGCAAAGCCCCCGCCCTCCCCAAAAAGTGTACTTAAGCACTGCTCGACCCCTCCCTGGGCTCTGGGCTGCTCTCCCTTCTTGAGTGAGCCTGGAGCCTCAGCGGGCTGAATTGGATCCTCAATAAATCCCCTTCTGCAATTGCATGAGTCAGTCTCTTGGTGGTCTCTTCCTCCAACTTTTCGCTGGACCCTTATACCAGAAAACCTCAGAAATGATTATCTCCCAAAATAACAAATGAATTACAAAACTCCAACAGAGAATAAGCTACATTCGTAGCTTTGAATCACCTCTTTTAAAAGACCCCTGTTCCTGCTGATGGGGAGAATTACAGCCTTTAGGACAGGAGTCCTCGGTGTTTCTCCTTTGTTAGCAAAACAAACCATTTTCTTTTTCTCAAAATGGTGTCCTCATTATTAGATTGGCATTGGGGCGCTTTCAGTAACAATATAATTCTTCAGTGCTATATCTGGGCATTTTTCCATCTAGGATTCATAAACATGCAGTTTGGGACCAAATTTGTCAGGAAGTATTCAACCAATAAAAATGGTAATTGACACCTTGTATGAGGCTTTCAATATACGTCTTGCATCATATTGTCAGATATAAATCCTTAGAAAGTGATAAGAGCCTTATTGTTAACTCAGCATTATCTTAACTAGTAGATCTAGGGTGTGCTGTCTAGATTGCTCTCTTTAGCACCAACATGCCTATTTTGCTGGTTGCCTGTAGTGTCAACTACTGATCACTCAGCCAAATCCCACCCCAAGAATAGCCCTCAGCTGAAAGGGCTGCCTCTCCCAAGGTTATAGGCTCTCCCCAAGTTGACGGGCATTAGTGATTGTATAGTGGAAAGACTAGCATCTTTCACTCAAATTGGGACAACTCTACAGGATCATTCCAGTTCCGCGGATCCTCAGATAAGGCATTTCTTGCTTCTCCCTCAGTCCAGTTTTACTTTCTTCACCCTCTTATGTTGTTCCTAAGAGGACTTCCCACCAAATCCCCTGCACACAAATCTGCCTTGGTCTGTTTTCAGGGAACTTGACTTAAGACAGGAGTATCTTTTAGGACAAACGACACACACGTGATAAAGGTGGGAGACAGGAAGTAAATCTCGGGTCATTAGGCTTTTCTTTATTCAGTATTTAGTGGCAGAGTCAATTGGTGGAACGCTGCTGTGGCTGTGGCTCATTTTGGGGGCAGAAAATGGCAACCGGGCAGAAGCAAGGGTCTGGTTATATAGGCTTTGTTTAGGGTGGACAGGAATATGAATATGGAATTCCCCTGGGGTTTATTTTATTGGTGTCAGATGATGGGGTGTGGGGGTTGGGGAGGGGCGTGCTGTCAGGTGCCAGTCAGGTGGAGTTCCTTTGGTGTTCCTTCCCTCTGGCTGAAGTCTGGGATTTTAAATGACAAAAGCTTCAATTTTACCCCAGTTAAGGCTCCTGGGGAAACAACTGAAGATAGGGGAAGAGTCCTTGGATTTATTTTCCACATCCTTAAGTATCACTAAAGAAAAGCCAAGTCAATAATTATAATTGATGACATCAAATTGCAAATACTTGTTGGCAGATGACCATTTAATAGAATGAACAGATAGTGTGAAAGAGGTTTAAAAAGTTAGATTTATATCACTGTTTGTGTTCCCTAAAATGCGTATGTTGAAGTGCTAACCCCAAGTGTGATATTAGGAGGTTTCTCCTTGAGTTACTAATTAGATTATGAGTGCAGAACTCCATGAATGGGATAGTTGCCCTTAAAAGAAGTCTTGAAAACTTGTTTTCTTTCCATGCCCTCTGTTCTTTGCCTTGTAAGAATGCAAGATGGCCATCAATAAAACAGGAAGAATGTCCTTACCAGACATCAATTATGTTGACACATATATCCTGGACTCCCCAGAACTGTGAGAAATAAATTTATCTTGTTTAAGCACTTAGTTTATGGTGTTCTGTTACAGCAACCTGAACTAAGATAAGCACATTTTAAAAATAGGCCATGCCCAAAATAATTGCCACTTGTGCTAATTTTTTGAAATGTTTATTTCAGAATAATTTTAGATTTATAGAATGTGCTTATTTTTAATGTCTCTTGGGCATTGTGCTGTAGTTTGGGTGTGAAATATCTCTC